CTCCCTTTCCCCTCAGCATGGCTGGCTCAGGAATTCTGGGAGTTGAAGTCCACGAGTCATAAAAGAGCCAAGGTTGCCTACCCCTGGACTAGGGAGCATATCTAGCTATGAGTATTTTCAGCTTACTTCAGCCTCTGCAATTCATGGACAAAGACTGCGTCATTTTATTTTACTTTCAGCTCAGCCCCATGCAGGGGACTATTAATTTGGGTATTCCAGATCCATCCAAGATGGTTCCCTACAAGGAGCTCCTATATTAAGTGCAATTTCTAGATCAATTAAGGTTACTTTGCTAGGCAAAAGTTTCTGCTGGTCCCACGAATGCTGGTGTCTCAGGCAGAAGATCCTCAGTCCCAAAGTGAGAAAAAACCAGGGCAGATTTTGGTCTATTTAGTCTTATTTTAGGCACAATTCTCTGCTTGATGGCGAAACGGAACGTTTTTAATCATCTGCTAGTCGCAGGAGGGTCCCGGACGTTGTCGGCACGCTAGAGAGAATGAGAAAGAGCTCATCAAAATTAAAAGCGGGGGGAAAAAAAACATAGCCAAGCTGCATGAAACGGTATGAAAAGAAATACTGGTAGTCCTCGACTTACGACCACAAAATCTATGTTGCTAAGTGAGAAATTTGTGAAGTGAGTTTTGCCCTATTTTACGACCTTTCTTGCCACAGATGTTAAGGGAAACTTACCACAATCGGTAAGTTAGTCACACAGTTGTTAAGTGAATCTGGCTTCCCCATGGACTCTGCTTGTCAGAAGGCTGCAAAAAGTGATCAAGCGACACTGCAACCGTTGTTAAGTGTGAACCATTTGCCAAGCATCCAAATGTAAGTCATGTGACCATGGGGATGCTGCAACGCTTGTTAAGTGTGAAAAATGGTCACGAATCACTTTTTTCAGTGCCGTTGTAACTTTGAACACTCACTAAACGAACCGTTGTAAGTTAACACTTCTGCTTCTCAATATCTAACATTCACCAGGGCTAAACCACATGAAAGAGTTTGGCCTTTGATGGAACAAGGCAATTATTTAATCTTTAAAGCTCTAGGGTGATAATTCCTCTCACACACACACCCCGCCCCCCACTCCTAGTACAGTCAGGAAACTGAGGAGTAGTTTGCAACAATGCTCTTCTGCACGTAGCAAAGCAACATTTGAAAAGTGAGGCTTCCTAGCTGAAATCTCCACAGTTACGTTATATTTCAACTCTCCAGAACTGAGCTAATTCAACTCTCAGAATTCCTCAACGAGATGGTAAGATGGGAGAATGCTATTTCAAAATTGGTGGAAGACACGGGATATTTAAAGTCAACCTGGTGGGCAAATATCTAGGAGTAATCTTAAGGGCCCAAGGACAGATTAGATTTATTTATTTATTTATTTATTAATTTAATTTATATCCCGCCCTTCTCCTTACGGACTCAGGGCGGCTAACAACCAGATAAAACACTAATCCCCAAAAACTACAAATTTAAAAACATAAGTAAAAACAAATATTAATAATTTGGTCAAATTAATTTAAAAATTGCTTTAAAACCCCATTAAAATTTTCCCCTAGGCCAGTCCCGCTTGTTGGAATAGCCATGTCTTAAGGGCGCGGCAGAAGGAAGGGAGATCAGGGATCACCCTGATCTCTGGGGGCAGCTCATTCCAGAGGGTGGGAGCTCCCACAGAGAAGGCCCTCCCCCTTGGGGTCGCCAGCCGGCACTGTCTGGCCGACGGCACCCTGAGGAGACCCACCCTGTGGG